CCCAAAACCCCAGGTAAGGCTGCTAGGATCCCAGCCTCCCCTACCTCACCTGGCGCAATTTGCCACTGCTACCTGTCCCTGGGGAAATGCATGTGCTTACTCATCTGGACATGCCCAATGTGTTTATCCATAGTTTCATTGTGAGTGCAATTGTGACACTGCCTACATCTCTTGCTGATTAGTGCCCACCATCTAAGTTAATTAGTGGTAATTATTCTCAGATTTCAGCATGTAATTCATTTTACAGACACCAAAAAGCAGGTGTAAAATCTGCTTGCAACTTATTACCTGACAAAAGGATCCAGGTCTCAATCTAATTGAAATGATGCTCCTGACCATCTGTCTTAGGCTAAAGAAATAAGCAGAAAATGTTAGCAAAATATAGCATAAGGAAAGTTGTATCAAAGTTCTTCAGAAAAGCAAAAGAAAATCTAAAAACCTTTCTCCTGCTATGTAACATTAAATGCTATTAACCTATTTGCCTGTGAAATTATCGGGAAAGTAGAAGCACACATGCAGATGTCACAAAAGAAACAAGGCACATTAGAAAGGACTATTTTGCTTTTGAATGGACATAGAAACAACTGATGGAAACAAACAAGCCCACAAAGAAAGCAATAATTAGGGAAACAAAGAATACAAAGACGAACCTAGGAATCAGGGATCATCCTAAACAATAAATTAAGAAGTCCTTCACAACCATAAAAATAACCAGAGGTTCATTTGGTTTGATAAAAAAAAATGTGTACAACCTCTGACTCCTGTCTTGGAGGACACTGATTGGGTGTATGACTGCAAGAAGTGCATTCTTCCCCTAGATAGTTATAGTCTTATCAAAGGCTACACATGAATGAAAACAAACAGAAAGCTGAAGGAACAAAAGTTCAATTAAGTAACAATCAAGGAAAAACTGTGTGCTGATATTACTAGTTTATGGGATTTCTAATCAAAATGTTACTGATTTCCCCTCATCAGAGGATGGAAACCCAGAAGATGTTTTCATCTATATAAGATCCATATAAAGCTCATTTGCTGGCCCAGCACTGACTTTGACTTTAGTGTCTGCAGCTTTTAGTGGTAACACCTATCTCTAAAAAAAAAAAAAAAGGCACTGCAGCAATGTGTTCCTTTTACTGGTTCACTGGTGTAAGTCCGGAAACACACACAGCTTTTATGATTATCCTTGTAATAGTACTTGCTGTGTCTGATCTGGGGTGAGAGCAAAGGGGAGAAAATGAAAAGAAAGATTACAGGGGAAATGTGATGGGAAGGTGGGAGTCTACAGAGAGGAAAAGGAACTCAGGGAGATACCATGTATAGGAGAAAGTAATCCTGTGTTACAAAAAGAGATAAAAAGCAGGGCAGGGCTCCACCTTACAGACTAACTCATTCAGAGGTATGGGCTTTTGCAGGCAACATTCTACTTAGTGGGTCCATCTACACATGCCCCTGACTGCAGAGCTGCTACTAGCTTTACCAAATACTAAATAAAAAACAACAAGGATTGGACAGTCAAAGAAAGCAATACAACAAAACAGAGGTAGACACTATTGGAAAAAGATGGGTGAGGGGAAATATGTGTCAAAACTAACAAGCCATATGCTAGGCTGAGATGCCACCAGCCAGGTATCTTCTGAAATATCACAGTATTTCTCACCTGTGTCTGATTTATGAGGAAAATTAGAGGAAAAGGCTCCCTTGAAAGATCCATTCCCTATCAAATTTAGACATAAGATAGTACACGCAAGGAAACATCCATACTAAAAACAATAGCCCAATCTGAAATGGACAGTGGAGGAAAACCTCCACTGGTTTGGAGCTGACTCTATGCCTGCCACTTATCACTCAAGTGTAGAGCCCTACTGGGCATGTCTACATGAGACGTTCACTGTACAGCTGCCTAATTAGCTCTGCAGTACACATTAGGGGTGTGTGAAATGGGTCGTATTTGATTCGGATTTGGATTAGGCCTGAATTGGGGACAATGATTTGATTTGTTGATTCAGATCACTGTCCTGATTTGATTTGGCTGAATCCATATCTGAAGATTTGATGCTGATTCAGAGAATCAGCAATTTGGCCATAGACACAGCTTGAAATGTTTTTTCTACATACCTCGAGGTACCAAGCATGGCTTGTGAACACTGTGATGGTGGGGCAGATAAAGCATCCCACAGGAGCACATGGGGGACTTCTCTCCCACGTCCCTCCAGCTTGGCAATCAGCCATGGGGGGACCCTGGGTGCCCCCCCAGATCCAGGAGGCACCCGTTGCTGAGCTGGGGGGTGGGGTCCCCCACATGCTCTGCTGCAAACACTTCTGGTCCACTTCCAGGTCTGCCACGCAGAGCACTGGGGACCCCCCCACGGTCCTGTGGGATGCTCCATCCGCCCCACCATCTCAGTGTTCATGAGCCGCCTGGTACCTTGAGGTATGTAGAAAAAACATTTAAAGCTGGGTCCATGTCTGAATCATTGAATCTCTCCGAATTGATTCAGAGGGTTCCGATTCGATTCGGAGAGATTAAAGGGTCTCCTTCACACAGCCCTAGTACACATCTATACACGGATCCCTATTAGGGATCACAAAGCTAATGAATTCTGGAGCAGGCTAGTACATGTACATGTACATAAAAGTACTAACCTGCTCCAGAGTTGTTTCATGTGCAGCAGCACACGTAGGCACTGCCTGGCTGGCTGCATATTACTTGCACGTGTAGATGCACCTACTGGGGTGTGAAAGTGTGGGGTCTGCCTCCAATCTATTATAGGCCAGCAAACCCTACTAGAGCACTGTAACCTGGCTCAAGTCAGAGAAGTCTTTACATTGCTCTAATAAGCTCTAGCCTCCAAGGTAGAAAAGAAAGATGTCTTAGAGCCAACTGCGCCTCTCCCTAACCAAGCTCAGGATTTAGCCCAGTGTCTAAAAATAGCAGTCATGAGGCGGTCCATGTACTGCTTTCTATTGCCCTTTAAAAGACACAGGTTGAAAGTGTTTTATGAGCCAGGTGTATTAGTGGTCATATTTGTATGGGTCTGTTGAGTTTTAATCAATCAGGCTCATTTCAGAAGACTTTAATTTTGCTCTCATTAAGTATGTGTGAGTTTTGTGTGTGTGCAGGCGCATATCTTTATCCCTGTCAGCATTCAGAAAATTACATGCCCCTAGTTAACATGTTGTACAGTACTATAAATTCTCATGAATATCACCTACCACAGAGGAAGGAGCCTGTAATCCCCTATAATATAATGGATGTTTTCCCCTTTTCCAAAAAATGACCTCTGCTAAATACAAGGGTGTTTCAGAAAGTAATAGCAATTTCAAAATAAAACTATTTTGTGTTAAGTAATCATTTACTGGATCATATCACTTCTCTGCATAGTGATAGGTGATGGCTGTGTTTGACAATACTGCCTGCCATCAGTTTCCCCATTGCTGTGTAGTTTCTCACTCATTGCACATAGTAATTTTATTTTGAAACTGCTGTTACCTTCTGAAATACCCTTGTGCATATATGTGTATAAATACATTATAAATATAGATATATATTTCGTTATCATAGAACATGCTTATAAAGCACATTTGACAAAAAGGAACCACCTTTCCTTTATATCAAAGAGGAACTAATGACATTAGATCTACCATTTCATACCATGTAGGGCTTAAAACAACCCTCAAACATATTTAGGACCAAGACACACCATGGCATGGCAGCATTCCAACATAAATCTCACATGATGTCATAACACAACAGCTCTGCCCCAGAGAACAATATTAGTACATCTGGAGGATGTCAGCTAATCATTTCATTAAAGGAAAAATATGGTGGCACTGAAAATAAGGCAGATTTCATGGCTTGTTTAATTTTTCTAAGTTTTCAAGTATTTTTTTCCTTTAGCAATCTGGGTTGCAGTAACTATACAGTAAGTAACTTATTTCACTACACAAAAAAACCATCCCAAGCAACTCTCTTTCCTTCCTTCCTTCTTCAGTACCACTTCGTAACCTTTAGTCCTTTCATTCCTACTTTGGGCTACAAGGGTATAAAACCTGTAATTAACAACTTCTTTATTGCCTCCGCAATAGTAATTGCCATGTATAGCCTTGAGGTACTAAGAATAAAAAATCGTTTTCCTCCCCCCACCCCCCATATTTAACTAGCACTCTGCAGTTATTATTAGGATCTTGCCAGCACTTCACCTTTCACAAGAACCTTGTGATAAAAGTGTAATCCCCACACAGTGACCTCTGCATGCAGCAATCAATACTTATGCTGTAATATTTCCCCTTCTTGCTGTTTCAGAGCAGCCTTTTAAAAAAAAAACCCACCACACAAACACAGGCTGGGAAGAGATTAGATTATCAATTATCATGAAACTGTCTGCAACTTCAAAGGGCTGCAGAGCAGGGGAAACCATAGTTTATCAGGACTGTAAGCGTCCTGCAATTATCTCTCATGTCACCCAGATGTAGAGCAGTAGTTGGGGGAATAAACTCAGGTCTGTGGTGAGAGACTGGATTGGTGGAAAAATATAAAAGCAGCATTTTCTTTGGATCATGAATCATTAGTTTTGGGTCAGATATTGACAATAAGTAGGCTCTTGAATGTGTTAACCATGAGCAGCTCAATTCAATATACTCATGTATCTATGCAGCGTGAGCATTTTATCGATAAGCAGACACAGGATGCTTTCTTTTTCCCTGAAACTCCAATTTTTACGTAGGTCAACAGATTGTTAATAGTCTGTCAAAGAATGATGCATTGACAGTCAGTAAAACTGCAAGATGTTTGTCCTCAGTCATTCCCACAAGTATTATGCCTATGGTTTCACATAGAAAAACAGCTTTACAAGTCAAGTTAAACACAGAAGTTTGGAAGCAAAACTCCAGCTACTGACATCACTTCCTGATGCGACATGGCATTATTGTTTGGTCTTGTTTTCCAGTGGGATCAATGAGACTCCAGTTTGACCCACACTATCTTAAGACCAGGAACAATGGAAAATTAATGTAATGTTTATTAATACATAGAAAAGGCCCCTGGCCATGCAGAGAGCCAAATAAAAACAATTAAAGTAACATGTAGTCACAAGTCTAGTTAATGAGCAACCTTTTGTGTCAAGATATGATATACTGTAGCAAAATAAGTTCATAAAGGAGTTGTGCTCCCTGATAGTCCACCCAGTTATACACTCCCCACCTAATATAAATGCCAAGTATTTACCCTTGAACATGACCACACAAGTACAAAATGTAACAGTAGCAAAGCTGGGCAATTCTAGTAGCTATAAACAAGACTAGCTCTCCATGTTTAAAAGAAGGTTGAGGAAGCTGTTAACTACATGGCATATGAAAGAATCTCAAAGTGCTTCGCAACCTTTGTAAAACAAGCTATTATTATTATTATTATGTATATTACAAGCCCCAATATACTTGGTGCTCCATAGAACTGTAGCAACATTTCTTACCCAAAGATCTTTTCATATGGAATGAGAGAAAGAGACAAATGAGGATGAGGTGGGAGGACTCTATTTTTTCACTAAGATTTCCTCTATTATGCAAAATTATGTTAGTTCTCAGTATACTGGGATCTTCCATCTCTATGGCACTGCTCATAACCTCAGAAACCAAGTAATTCCTAAGCATTACCCCTAGGGTTCTTCCTGGTATTAGTTGGTCAAAAAGTAGCAATGAGAACAACCATTGATAACAACAGGTCATAAATAACAAGTTGGACTGAGCTATCAAGACATTGACCTCATTGTCTTTTCATGAGGTCAGTAGGGAACTACATAATGAGGATAATTTATTTATATACAAAATCTCTGTGTCTTTAAAAATAAATATTCCCCTAATGAGGATATAGTTAGGGGGAGAGTGGGAGGAACTAAATCCATCCCCTATGAGTGAGCGTCTCCAACCTCTATAAGGTTGGTGTCTAGATCATGTACATGTCTTTTGGGGTAGCCTGTGGAGCTGTAGGCCTAGAACAAAGCATTTTAAATAAATAAGTGGGAAAACCCTTCTATAGAGAATCATCTGAAGTCTCTTCCACTAGAGCTCCTGATGGTTCAGTAGAATTTTGAAGGGCCTAAAGGAAAATATAAAATCAAAGTCAATAAAACTTTTGTGAAGAACCTGGAGTTCATTCTTCTACAGCTATCACTTTGTAACATTCTAAGTTCCTGTCTTTTTCTCTCTAAATAAAATAGGCTTTGGGTGAACCTAAGCTACTTGTCATAGGGCGCATCTACACGAGACGTCTACTGCAGAGCTGCCTAATTAACTCCACAGTAAACATCTCCATTTCTACATATGTGCCCCTATTATGGTGCACAAAACTAATAAACTCCAAAAGTAATAAAGCTCAAAACTTAAAAAAAACCCAGAGGATTTTTGTGTGCAGCAGCACACATGTAGATACTACCTGGCTTGCTGGGGCATGAGGATGCTTCAGTATGGGGGCTGCCTTCCAGCTAGGGCTGCAGCACATTAAGCCAGCCCCTCTGCAGCACATTAAGCCAGTCATAGCAGATCTGGGCTGCTGCCAGCCAGGGCTGCTCTGACCGGGCTCGATGTGCTATGCATGAATAAACTCCAGAGCAATATACTCTGGAGTTTGTTGCTCCTGGGAGCACATTCAAATGGTATACCCAGAAGCAAAAAACTCCAGAGTAATAAGCTCCAGAGTTTATTCCTGTACATTAATTGCATGTGTAGAACACCCATAAAGCAGAATCCACACTCTGTTAAACACTTGTATGTAATATAAATTTGTGTATAGTCAACATTTTCTGGCCCAGCCAGTGATAAGGCAGGATACTATGGAAGTGATCTCTACAAGCAGGGGGAACTTAAGAAGTTGTAGAATGATAGCTGGTGTGGGATCTGGTTCCTAAACACCTATTTAGTTTGCTTCTGTAGGCCTTCTTGCCTACCACGGGAATTCAAGGCTTCACAGGAACTCCAGGTTGAGTGGTAGCTCTGTAAAGAGAGAGTTCTTTCTTCCTGGTATTTGTATTATATCCTCATCCTGATCCTAATACAAATTGGAATTTATTTGTCTCTGGCAACCCAAGGGAACAAATAATCAAGTGTTCAGAACTAAGTATGAAATAAGTATATCCTATAACCAGAACTACAAGCTTTTCCTCCTTTTTTTTTTCTAAGACTTCTTGGTGTATTAGTGAAACAATCTGAAACATGCCAAAGTTAAAATGTATCTCCTGAAAATGTATTTATAATATGATACTGACCTAATCTTCAGTGATGTCATGAGGCAAACATACATAGTTCCTGGGGAAAAAAAAAGTGCAGCTAATCAATTAAACCCATTTAGGAATTAACCAGAGCATCTTATTGTCAGATTAAACTTTAAAGATGGTGAAGTGTTTGCTAGTGTTAACACAATTTATATTCTGACTGTTTCATGTTTATTTAGGATGAAAAAAGGAAAATAATTCTCTTTTAAACACTGTTTCATGAGTTTCTGTCATGAAAACATCACTTACTTTCCCTCCCCACTCTAATAAGTAAAGGCCATCACTGGGACAGCAAGGTATAGCTGATGTATATAGAACAGCATATACAATGTCTGCACTTCCTATTGCCCTTCATTTCACATGCAAACCTAAGTCAGTGCTTTTTTTCTCTATCACGTAACTCAACATTTCAAATTTGCTTTACATAGATGCTTGTCTCTCTGCACTGTTTCTTAGAATGTGATTAAAGGGAAGGGAAGGGAAGGGGTGGGTTGGGGGATGAGGGCATGGTATAATCAGAAAGGGCCAGATTGTTTCTAACAACCTTGAGATGGTCACAACACAGCACAAGAGTTCTGGGATGGACACTGCCTCAAGAGCCACATCTCCCCTCCCAGCTTCCTGGTGTGTGGGTGGCATGTATATTCTCTCCGGTTTCATACACAGAGGGATTGGGCTGTGGGCCAGTTTCCCTGCCCCCGTGTGTATGATGTGAATTTGTGGGAGTGCAAAAAGAAAGCTACTCCTGCATTTGCCTGAGAAAAAAGACTATTAACTTGCCTGGTCCTTGCATGCAATTCAGGGAGGGAAAGTTTTCTTTTACCTTATTCCACTGTCTACCTGCACTTTGGACTAGACATTGTGGTTTAGTATTACTCTGGTAACCAAGTCTAGAAATACATTAATAAAATCCTTGCAACGCTACAGAACAAAAATACTTCAATAGTACCTAAGTATATTATTTTAGTGCCCAATGGCCATGATCAGGATTGTGAGGTCTCTGGAATAGGCATCTGTTTATTATACATCTGTTCAGTATCTATCGTACCAGCACTACAACAATACAAAAAATACAAATAAATGCACTATACAAGCACAAAAAAGAGACAATGTGAAGAGTTTACTTCTCTAAGTAAGAAACAAGTAAAGTTTCCAAGTCCACATGTTTCCCTCATTAACAGATTGCATGAGCTGCAGCCTTGGTAGTGAAATGATCAGCTAACTAGAAGTTTATTGAAATAAAAAACCTGAGCCAGAAACATATAAATGTTTTCAGCATTTCTTAGCAAATGGAACAACATAGGCCTTTTTTTAAGTTAAATTCTAGGGCTAGATTTTCAACTAGAAAAATCCATTTGAAACCAATGGAGTTATGCCCTTATACATCAGTTAAGGATCTGGCCACCGCCTTTTGCACAGGCACCTAATGTATACCTGGTTAAGCATAGAAAGCACTTTAAAAGTATATTATTTAGAAACTTTGTTGGTATAGCTAGTTACAGACATTCAAAAAGCCCAAGGCAGAATCAATCTAAGTTATGCTGTTTTCTGTAAGCAGTGTCATTTAGATTGGTAAACTGAAAACACATTTGCCCTTTGGTGGGGTGAGGGGCACAGAGGTTACCTATCTTAGACCAGGTTCCACCATTTTTAAATCAGTCTATATATGCTGAACTTCTGTTTTGTTATGGGTTTTGACTGGTTTCTGATCACTTACCTCAGTAAACGTGTAAAGTGTGTACTTGGCCTTCATGTCCTGTCTTGCTCTGTAGTATTCATAGATTCATAGATTATAGAGTCAGAAGGGACCCAATGGATCATCGTGCCTGACCCCCTGACCCTGGCAAGAAAGAGGACCGAAGTCAGATGACCCCAGCCAGGTGATTGGGGTCATCAAGCCTCCTCTTGAAGACCTCCAAGTTAGGTGATAGTACCACCTCTCTTGGAAGCCCATTCCAGACTCTGGCTATCCTTACGGTAAAAAATTTCTTCCTAATGTCTTACCTATATCTATTCTCCACTAGTTTGCACCCATTATTCCTAGTTACTCCTAGGGGTGCCCTGGTAAATAGCACATCCCCAATTCCCTGCTTCCCTCCCCTGATAAACTTATAGGTGGCTACAAGGTCACCCCTCAGCCACCTTTTGTAAAGGCTGAAGAGATCCAGATCTCTCAACCTCTCCTTGTAGGGCCTTTTGCGGAGACCACTAATCATACAAGTGGCCCTCCTCTGAACCCTCTCCAGATCCTCCATGTCCCTCTCGAAGTGCAGCACCCAAAACTGGACACAGTACTCCAACTGCAGCCTAATGCTGCATAGAGGGGGAGCATCACCTCTGTCGATCTGTTGGTCATGCATCTGCCAATACATGACAAGGTGCGATTGGCTTTGTTGATGGCCTCGTTATACTGCCGGCTCATGTTCATCTTAGAGTGAACTATGACTCCAAGATCTCTCTCAGCCTCTGAGCTGCTGAGGAGGTCATCCCCCAACCTGTAGGTGTGCTGGGGATTCCTCCTTCCTAGGTGGAGAACCTTGCATTTGTCTTTGTTGCATTGTATCCTGTTTCATTCCGCCCATTGATCTAACCTATCCAGGTCAGCCTGTATCTGCTCCCTGCCTTCCAGTGTATTAACTTTGCCCCATAACTTGGTATCATCCACGAACTTGGAGAGGGTGCACTCCACACCCTTGTCCAAATCGCTGATGAAGATATTAAATAACACCAGTCCAAGGACCAAACCCTGTGGGACCCCACTGCCCACCTCCTTCCAGGACAAGAACAACCCGTCCACCACCACTCTCTGGTGCAGTCCCTAAGCCAGTTGGCCACCCACCTGACTGTGTAGGCATCCACTCCACAGCCCCTTAGCTTCCCTATGAGAATAGGATGCGAAACTGTGTCAAAGGCCTTCCTAAAATCCAGGTAGATGACATCGGCCTCAGCTCCTATGGCAAGGCCTTGTGTGACCTGGTCATAAAAGGCTATAAGGTTTGTCAGGCAGGATCTACCTGTGATGAACCCATGCTGGTTTCCTTTTAGCATCGTTTCCCCTGCTGGGCCTTCACAAATGCGCTCTTGGATGATTTTTTCCAGTATTTTCCCAGGGATAGAGGTAAGACTAACTGGCCTAAAGTTACCCAGCACATCCCTTCTCCCCGTCTTAAAAATGGGCACCACATTGGCCTTTTTCCAGTCCTCAGGCACCTGGCCAGAGCACCATGAGAGCTCAAACAGCCATGCCAGTGGCTCAGCAGTGACACTGGCCAATCCCTTCAGCACCCATGGATGGAGGTTATCTGGACCAGCTGATACCCATCCAGAACCTTCCAACCTAGTGCTCTTTAACTAAGTCAGCACTAACCTTTGGTGGTCTGCTGCCTTTTGGACATCTCTCTATGCTCAAGGTGGGGGAATTGTCTTGGTCAGTATTAAGGAATACTGAAGCAAAGAACTCATTGAAGATCTCTGCCTTTTTCTCTGCATCAGCCACTCCATATTAGTAAAATGTGTATGATATTAAGCATTCCATTGTGAGCTGAGCCATATTTAGAATTTATATATAAGCTTAGGATTGATAAAAATACACAATGTATTTGATAAATGGCATAAATGTCACCAAAAACACCCTAAGACAGGGGCAGGCAAAATACGGCCCACAGACCGGATCTGGCCCACCAAGCTCTTTCATACAGCCCACAGTGCCCACCAACAAGTTGTGCCCCACCCAGCCTTTCCTCCCACAAGGGTGGGAGTGAGGCACTCACATGTACACACAGCCCCAAACATACCCTATTGCCTCGTGGGTGGAAGGGCCCAGCCAGGCAGCATGCAGCATCCATGTGGGGCTGCTGCTGCAGCTGCTGCAGCCCCCAGGGATTTGCTCCACTTCCCTGGTCTTCTTCTGGCTCCAGGCAGCATGTAGGGAAGCAGCGGGGGCAAAGCTGCAGCTGGGCAGGAGCTTGGAACATGGAGCATGGGACTGGGGCTGACAGCAGCATGGAGCTTGCGCCCAGGGGGGTGGCAGCAGCACAAAGCTCAGGTGGGCAGTGTGTGGGCATGAGGGAGGGTGGGGGTTGTGGGGACCCCCCCCCCAACCAGCACTGCACATTGCAGCAAGGGGCACAACCTTCACTGGGCAGTCTGTATTGCTGGCTCTCCCTATCACTCATGCACAGCTCCTGCACTCCCACAGCATGGGAGGGAAGCACCAGGCACTGGAGCTGCCTGCCTTTCCCATTGGGGCTGCACAGCATAGGAGAGAAACCTCAGGTGCTGAAACTGGCTGCCTTCCCCACCCTGCAAGGTAAGAAGCCTAGGGCTTCTCTGCCCTGCAGCACAGCTCTAGTGGGGAAGGCAGCCAACTCCAATGCCTGAGGCTTCTCTCCTGTACTGCACAGCCCTGGCAGGGAACACAGCTGGCTCTAGCACTTGGGGTTTCCTTCTCTGCTGTGTGAGTGCAGGGGCTATGTGTGAGTGGCAGGGAACACCAGCAATACACACAGCCCAGAGGAGGTTGCACCTCTCGCTGCGATGTGAAGCACTGGCTGGAGCTGCATCCCACTGGGCACCCACATCCTGAGAACCCTGCCTGCTGCTGTGCCATGGAGGGAGTTGAGGGGGGGTCCCCACACACCCACACCCTCCCTCACACACCCACAACCTGCCCTACAACCCCCCATATATACACAACTCCTAATATACCCTATGCCCCCCACACAGAGCCACACCCACTCACAACCTCCTCTCACACACCCCCAACATACTCCCACACCCCACCATACATACACACACACACCACACACACCACACCACACCCCACCACACACCCATACCCCACACCCAAACCCCACCATACACCCCCCACAATATACAAAGCTAGGCTTTATTTTTGAGTTATTATGCAGTCACCTCTATATACAGTATGCAAACACAAATCATGACAAAATATTTTTTGTAATAAAATTAAAACATGTTATAGTAGGTGTTTGACTTTTAGTGTATGATTTGGTTTTTTTCTGGTTCTAAAATGGCA